TCACCTAGGATGCTCAGATAGGTCCCTCCGCTGAACACAGCACACAGTGATACAGCCTCGAACACAAACCCCCTGTCACCCCCTCCCCCCCACCCAGGCCCACCTGCAGCTGCATGGGGGGCCCAAAGTCCAGCCTCCTTGTCATGGGGGCTGATCTGGCTGATGGGAGGGTGAGGGAGAATGGCCCCCTCCCCACCTGCAACTTCACTTCCTTGGGGGTGACCTTCCTTCCATCCATCCCCAGTCGTGGAGGGGTTTGGAGGGAGTGTCTGAATGTCCCTCATATCCAAGGGACCTTACAGTCCTGGAAGGAGCTGTGTCTCTGGCTCCTTGGGGAATGTCAGATGGAAGAAGTGAGTCTGGTTTACAATCCAGAGATGATGGAGCCTGTGAAGCCCATGGGAGGGTTCTGGATGCCACACATGTCCTGGACACATGATCTATGGGGCCGTGTTTGCAGTGACAACTGTGTGTGTGTGTGTGTGTGTGTGTGTGTGCATTACATGTGTGCATGTGAGGTCAGTTAGTGAGAATGTGTGTGCGTGATTGCATGTATGGTAGCTTAGATCCCCATTTTGTGCTAGCTTCTAGGACAATAACCTCCCATGTTCTCAGGTCCCATTCTAGCTTCCCAAGAAGATGAGTCAGTTCAGAGATGTGTTTGTGGCTCATTCCCAGAATCACATTTTTGATTTTAAACTCATGGCCCCATTCGCCAACCATGGCTACAGTGACATTAGTGTTTGTGGTGGGGTCAGTGGTGAGCTGCCCTCTAAGCAGCTAAAAGAGAGCACAGTTGGCCACTAACTCCCATGGGCATTGACTACAGCTGGGACCCTTGTGACACAGTGGGGAGGAGTGGTCCTGGGGAAATTGTGGAGGTGAGTGACCCGGGTCCAGGGACTGAGGGTTCTGTAGTGAGTGTAACAGTGACGGTTCAAGGAACAGGGCACACAGTAGTGTCCTTGGTGAGCAGGAGCAGGGGGAAAGGGGCCTAAAAAAGGAGGAATGCTCTAGACTGGGAAGATGGAGAGTTTGCAGATGGGGTAGGAAGCCATGGGAGGCATGTACATGGGAAGGGTGAGGATTCTGGGGAAGGGAGCTCAGGCACTACCCTGGTTTTCATGGGGACCAAGGGGAATGGGTCTTGGGGTTGGACATGGGCCACAGGAGAAAAGCAATATTAATGAAGGTGAGAGAAGTGCACTCTCCTGGGTTGTGCTGCACCTATCGGGTTCTGGAACACTGGGCAACTCTGGGTGAGAGCGAACCCCTTCAGGGAAACATAAAGACTCTTTCACTGGACCTTTTCCCACAGGTTCAAAAGGATTGTGTTCACCTTTGGGGATAGTTGAGTTCAAGGCCAAAGGGCATAAACAAAAATGAGCGGAGTATGATATCTGATTGACAATAAGAACATTTTATTGAGAGTTGATTAGGTGCAGGGAACAAAAAGAATGGGTGTTGGGGCAGGAAGATCATTCTGGGGGTTCTGAGGCTCTAGCTCCCTGAGGGTGAGAGGACTCAGGGTCCTACGAACACTCTGAGGGGACCACTGTCTTCTCCACAGTGTTGCCGTCGTGCGTGACCTGGCAGCTGAAGCTGCTGACAGAGCTCCACTCTGCTTTCGAGCGCAGGCTCAGGTAGCTGCTGGCCGCGTACTTGTTGTTGCTCTGTTTCGAGGCCTTGGTGGTCTCCACGCCCTGGGTGACAGGCTTGCCATTTGCCTTCCAGGCCACCGTCACGCTGCCGGGGTAGAAGTCACTGACCAGACACACCAGTGTGGCCTTGTTCTTGTCAAGCTCCTCTCTGGATGGCGGGAACAGAGTGACTGAGGGTGCGGACTTGGGCTGACCTGTGGGGTGCGGGAGGGAAAGGAGGTCAGAGGCTCAGTATCCGCCCTGAAAGTCCCTGACCTCAGTCTCAATGTGGGTGCAGCGTCCTGATCCTGTCAGGATCCCTAGGTCAGGGACCACTCTGGGTCTAAAAGCCATGCCATGAAGTGCAATTTGGGGTGTTCCAAAAGCACCTCCCTATTTTCCTGAGAAACCCTGAGCCTGGACACCTGCCATCACCTGTCCTTTTGGACCCACACACACATCTGACTGCCACCCTCTTGGCTCTGCCTTTTCCTTGTATTCTGACAAGGTCTGTGTTTGTCTGTCTGTCTCTTTCTCCCCACAAAGGATGATCTGAGCTCTCTGCCTTCCTGTTGGGTGAATATACGACATTTCTGACCTGATCCTATTGTGCTGGGGGCTTTAGGGTCTTCGCCCTAATCGGTAAGTTTTTCCCTACACCCCCAAGTCTATTTCTCCTGCACTGTCCTTAACTGGGTACCTTTTGTGCTGAGCAAACAGAAGTCTGTCTGTCTGTCCTTGGGTCTCTCTCATTTCTACAATTAATGCCATCCCTGCAAATTTGTCATATCACTAGAGCTTTTTGCCATAGATTCTGTTTCCTTGTGTGAGGATGTTTGTCCTGCAGAGACCCAGGAGTGCACCTTGTCCTCATACCTTGTCCTTCCCTGGCCCTCCTTCTAGCACCATCTCCTCCCCCTGTGCCCTTTCTCCTGCAGGGTTCCCTGTGTCTCAGGCTGGCTCAGGACTCTGCATGGCAGCTCTATGCAGTCCCCGGGGAACCCTTGCGCCCTGCAAAGTTCCTGGTCCTTGGTCATGAGCCCCACAGTCCCAAGATCTTCCTGAACTCTGACCCATGCATGTCTAGCCTTGGCCCAGAGGGTTCTGGGTCACTACAAAATATTCACATGGTCACCCACTCAGTGCCCCCTTTCCTCTCTTCCCCTTAGGATAGGAGCCACGAGTGACCCCTTGAAATAAATCTGGTCCCACAGGAGCCCATAAGGGAAGACAGAACAGAATTGTCTAGAATCCAGCATGACCCAGGCAGACAGACAGAAGAGTCCACAGGTGAACCTGTTCATGCCTTTGTGTCTGAGGTCAGAGGTGAAGGCTTGATGTTGACCAGCAGAGGCAAATTGGACATTAAGAGGGAGAAGACCTTGGGGTCCCAAAATCTGGGATCCCAGGTGAAAACTAGGCTATAAGCTGACCCAAAACCCAGAAAAAGAGCAAAAATAGCAGAAAATTGCCCCAACAGCTGGCAGAGTAGGAAAGGAAGGGGAAGGAGAGACTCACCTAGGACGGTCAGCTGGGTCCCTCCGCCGAAAGGATAACACTGTGACACAAGCTCTTACAAAAACTTGTCTCTGGGAGGTCTTGCCCCACCCCTGAGCCCCTCCACCTGCAGCTGTGATGGTGGGAGCCTGGGCCAATTTCCCAGGCTGGCAAAGGCCCTGCAGGGGACACACTCACTGGCCCCGCCCCCCAGCAGATTGCAGGATAGATGACACAGGGCTTTGTGCAGCAACGGGATTGTGGGAAGCAAATTTCCCAGAGGAATTTGGTGTCTGATATGCTGCTTGTACTCTTGTCTCCTGGGATTTGGGATGAGTTTGGAGGGCATTTGTGTCACTGCAAGTGAGGGTCCATGGAAATGGATATGATGCTTCCTGTATGTCCAAACAACTCCATCTCCTCGGTGAAATCATAGGAGAGGGCAGCATGTACTCCCTGACCCCCCCTGCCCCTTCCAGGGGGACGCAGGCTGGCCTGTGTACAGACCATTGGCAACTTCCTACGTCCTAAAAAATCAAATCAGGGTCCAGGCTTATCTTCCCCAGTGAGAGCCTAGTTGGGGTCTGTTGTCAGGGTGGTCCTATACGAATTACCAGCATGTACTGTAGGGTGACCATGGGTAGAGTGCCACCCCTCTCATGGGTAGAGTGGTCTGGGGGTGCTGTGTCACCAGGGAAGCATGACCTTGCTTGAACCCACAGGCCACACTCCTCTGTTGTGAACTAGTGTGACCTGCCCTTAACTTACTCCTGAAATCCCGCTGATATGCTCCCCCAACCCAGACATCACTGGAGGCCCATTCTGTGCCCAGAATGGCGGCCTTTCTAATTCATCAAGTTCACTCTCATGTCCTTCTTACCCTGGGGGCTGACATCACCTGCTCCATCCATAAACCAACCAAAAATGGTCTCACCCGGTCCTGACTTCCGGTGCTGAGATTCTTTGTGATGGAGGTCCCAGGCCACTGCTAGGGTCACCTTGACCCTGACTATGACCAGGTCTATCGGAACAGAAACTGAGTTTCCTTGTGGCTCAGCCTCACCCCATGTTGCTGGCACAATTAGCCATGTGATAAAGTGCTCCAGGCTCCCTGGGTTGCTCAGGGGCATGAACATGACAGGGAATTGTTAGGCTATGTGATAATAAACATTTTCTCTGCTTAAAGACTTGTCAGGTTCTTCACTTAGCAAACATGCATTGTCAGAGTTTGAAAAATGTAGTATGGGATGCACTGTTAAGAACATTCTAGGTCTCTGAGGTGAGGGGCAACCACAAGACCCTCACCTGGTAATGGGGCCCCATTGGGTTCCTTGATGAAACAGGGAAGTTCAATGTCTGTTCCCCAAGACCACGGTCTTGACTCAATGTTTTCCTGGCCCATTATTTCCATGTGTAGCCACTGGTGCCCTCCTGGGAGCCTCTTCATTGTTCCCTCATTTGCCGCCGGGCTCCGGATGCCGCTTAGTCAGCCCTTGTCCCTTCCCAGCTGAAATGAAATGTGTCCCAAGGGTCAGCCCACCAGAGGTTCCTGCTCTGGGTCTCGGCTCCCACTGGCATTGGCCCTGATTCAGGCTGAGGGGACCAGAGGTAGATCCATCCCATGTCACTGCTCTCCTGCCCTTCGTTACTGACCTTTACCCTAGAGACCCTTCCAGAACACAGCACACACATGAGAAATGTCAGATGATAAATGATTAGAATTTATTTAGGAGAAGTAGAAACGGGGAGGGAGCAAGACCTGCCCAGTCTGAGCAGACCAGGCAGGGGTCTCAGGGCAGAGGGAGAGCCGGGGAATGGAGTGTCCGGCTGAGGGGAGCCCCCAGACGTGGGGGACTCAGGGTCCTACGAACACTCTGAGGGGACCACTGTCTTCTCCACAGTGTTGCCGTCGTGCGTGACCTGGCAGCTGAAGCTGCTGACAGAGCTCCACTCTGCTTTCGAGCGCAGGCTCAGGTAGCTGCTGGCCGCGTACTTGTTGTTGCTCTGTTTCGAGGCCTTGGTGGTCTCCACGCCCTGGGTGACAGGCTTGCCATTTGCCTTCCAGGCCACCGTCACGCTGCCGGGGTAGAAGTCACTGACCAGACACACCAGTGTGGCCTTGTTCTTGTCAAGCTCCTCACTGGATGGCGGGAACAGGGTGACTGAAGGTGCGGACTTGGGCTGACCTGTGGGGTGCGGGAGGGAAAGGAGGTCAGAGGCTCAGTATCCGCCCTGAAAGCCCCTGACCTCAGTCTCAATGTGGGTGCAGCGTCCTGATCCTGTCAGGATCCCTAGGTCAGGGACCACTCTGGGTCTAAGAATCCATGCCATGAAGTGCAATTTGGGGTGTTCCAAAAGCACCTCCGTATTTTCCTGAGAAACACCTGCCATCCCCTCTCCTTTTGGACCCCCTTCAGCCACACACACCTGATGGTCACCCCTGTGGCTCTGCGTCTACCTAGTATTCTGACAGGGTCTGTTCTTGTCTTCTCTGTTTGTCCCCACAAAGGATCATCTGAGGTCTCTGACCTCCTTTTTGGCCAATCNTCGTAATTTCCTGAGAAACACCTGCCATCCCCTCTTCTTTTGGACTCCCTTCAGCCACACACACCTGACGGTCACCCTTGTGGCTCTGCCTCTACCTAGTATTCTGACAGGGTCTGTTCTTGTCTTCTCTGTTTGTCCCCACAATGGATCATCTGAGGTCTCTGACCCCCTTTTTGGCCAATCCATGGACATTTCTGACCTCACCCATTTGTGCTGGGGGCTGTAGATTATTTGGCTTAAGGGGTCAGTCCCCCCTCTGCCAAATCTATCTCTCCTGCACCGTCTTTAACAGGATAGGGTTTTGATGATCAACAGAAGTCTGTCTGTTTGTCCATCTATTTCTCTCACTCCACAGTTAATGCCATCCCGTCAAAATATCATCACTAGAGCTTTCATGCCATACACTCTGCATCTCCCTGTGTGAGGATGTTTTTCCTGCAGAGACCCAGGAGCTCCCCTTGTCCTCATGCCCTGTCCTTCCCTGACCCTTCCTCTAGCCCCATCTCCTCCCCTGTGACTTCCTCCTGCAGGGCTCCCTGGGCCCAGGCTGGCTCAGGACTCTGCATGGAGCTCTATGCAGGCCCCGGGGTCCCTTCACCCTGCACACTCCTGGTGCTTGCTCATGAGCCCCAAGGTCCTGAGACCTTCCCTGCACTCTGACCCGGGCATCTCTAACCTTGCCCAGAAAGTTTAGGGTCACTTTAAAATATTCACATGGTAACCCCCTCACTGGTTCTTACCCCTCTTCCCCTTAGGGTGGGGGCCACTAGTGACCCGCAGAAAGAAATCTGGTCCCACAAGAGCCCATAAGGGGAGACAGAGCAAAATCTGTCCAGCATCCAGCCTGACCCAGGCAGACAGAAGAGTTCATAGGTCACCCTGTCCATTCCTCCTTCCCTGGGGTCAGAGGCAAAGGGCCTATGGTGACCAGCNGGTGACCAGCAGATCAAAAGGACAGTAAGATCAGACATGGGAAGAGCTCAGGGTCCCAAGGGCTNCTATGGTGACCAGCAGAGGCAAAAGGAGAGTAAAATCAGACATGGGAAGAGCTCAGGGTCCCAAGGGCTGGGTTTCTCAGTGAAAGCTTAGCCACAGCTGAGGCAAGACCCAGAAAAAGAGCAAATTAGCAGAAAATGGCCAGGATGTCTGGGAGAGCAGGGAAGGAGGGGAAGGAGAGNACAGGGAGGGAGGGGAAGGAGAGACTCACCTAGGACGGTCAGCTGGGTCCCTCCGCCGAACACATTAACACTGTGACACAGGCTCATACAAAAACCTGTCTCTGGGAAGCCCTGCCCCACCCCTGAGCCCCCCACCTGCAGCTGTGATGGGGGAAGCCTGGGTAACTGCCCAAATCTGGGGTAGGCCCTGGAAGGGCCACACTCACTGTCCCCATCCCCCAGATTACAGGATAGATGACACAGAGCTTTGTACAGCAACAAGATTGTGAAAAGCAATTTTCCCCAAGGGATTAGATGTCAGATATGCTGTTTCTCCTATTGTGTCCTGGAATTTGGGGTCAGTTTGGAGGGCATTTGTGTCATTGCCACTGAGCCTCCATGGAAATGGAAGGCACTCCTCTCTTATGTCCATACAACCCTAACTTCGGTGAGAGCATGAAGGTGGGACAGCTTGTATTCCCTAAGCCCCCAGGCCCTCCCTTTCCAGGGAGAGGCAGGCTGGCCAGGTTACCGAGTCACTGGTACCTACCTGTGTCCTAAAGGATGGAATCAGGGGCCCNAGCAGGCTGGCCAGGTTACCAAGTCACTGTGTCCTAAAGGATGGAATCAGGGGCCCAGGCTTATCTTCCCCAGGGATAGTCTAGTTTGGGTCTATACTGGGTGATGTCAGGGTGGTCGTTTATGAACTGCCAGCATTTACTTTAGGGTGACCTTGGAAATATAATCTTCCATCCCTGCCATGGGTTGAGTGGTCTGTGTGTGCTGTGTCACCAGGGAAGCATGACCTTGCTGGAACCCACAGGCCACACTCACCCTGCTCTGAGCTAGTCTGACCTGCCCTTACTTTACTCCTGAAATCCAGTTGACATGCCCTCCCTGAGGCATCACTGGATGCCTATTGTGTGTCCAGGTCGCGGTCCTCTCCAAGTCATCAAGTTCCCTCCACTGTCCTTCACATCCTGGGGGCTGACATCACCTGCTCCATCCATAAATCAACCATAATATGTCTCACCCTGACCTGACTTCACTTGTTGAGGTTCTTGATGATGAAAGTCCCAGGCCNCCCTGCTCTGAGCTAGTCTGACCTCCTTACTTTACTCCTGAAATCCAGTTGACATGCCCTCCCTGAGGCATCACTGGATGCCTATTGTGTGTGCAGGTCGCGGTCCTCTCCAAGTCATCAAGTTCCCTCCACTGTCCTTCACATCCTGGGGGCTGACATCACCTGCTCCATCCATAAATCAACCATAATATGTCTCACCCTGACCTGACTTCACTTGTTGAGGTTCTTGATGATGAAAGTCCCAGGCCACTGCTAGGGTCACTATGAGCATGACCTTACCCCAATTCATGAGAACAGAAAGTGAGTGTCTTTGTGCCTCAGCCTCACCCCATGTTCCCACCACCATTAGCCATGTCTCAAAGAGTGTTCCAGGCTCCCTGAGTTGCTCAGCGATGTGAGCAATTCTTAGTCTGTAAGATATTAAACAGTTTCTCTGCTCCCGGTCTTCTCAGTGTCATGACTTAGCTGACATGCAGTGTCAAAGTTTGACAAATGTACTATGGGATGCATTGTTCAAAGCTTTCCATGTCTCCAAGGTGACGGGCCAACCATGCACCCCTCACCTGGTAATGGGGCCCCATTGGTTTCCTTCATGGAACAGGGAAGGTCAATGTCTTTCCCAAAGACTTTGGCCTTGGGTCAATGTTTTTATTCCCAATATTTTCATCTCTAGCCACTGGTGCTCTCCTGAGACCCTCTTCATTGTTCCCTGATTTTCCCTCAGGGCTCTGGATGTCTCTTCCTCAGCCCTTGTCCCCTCCCAGCTGAAANGACCTGTGGGGTGCGGGAGGGAAAGGAGGTCAGAGGCTCAGTATCCGCCCTGAAAGCCCCTGACCTCAGTCTCAATGTGGGTGCAGCGTCCTGATCCTGTCAGGATCCCTAGGTCAGGGACCACTCTGGGTCTAAGAAGCCATGCCATGAAGTGCAGTTTGGGGTGTTCCAGAAGCACCTCCCTATTTTCCTGAGAAACACCTGCCATCCCTTCTCCTTTTGGACCCCCTTCAGTCTCACACACCTAACTGTCACCCTTTAGGCTCTGCCTCTACCTGGTATTCTGACATTGTCTGTTTTTGTCTATTTGTCTGTTTGTCCCCACAAAGGATCATCTGAGCTCTCTAATGACCTATTGGGTCAATCTGTGGACATTTCTGACCTGATCCATTTGTGCTACATGATTTAGAGTATTTTCCTTAAAGGGTCGCCCCCAATATCCAACTCTTCTGTACCCTCTCTAACTGTTTAGGATTTTTTGCTGACGGGAGAAGTCTGTCTGTCTGTCCTTGGGTCTCTCACTCTACAGTTAATGGCATCTTCCCAAACTGGTCATCAGTAGAGCTTTCAGGCCATAGATTCTGCATTTCCTTGAGGGAGGATGTTCTTCCTTCAGAGACCCAGGAGCTCCCCTTGTCCTCATGCCCTGTCTTTCCCTGACCCTTCCAATAGTCCCATCTCCCCCGCCCCCCGAGTCTTTTCTCTTGCAACATTCCCTGGGTCCCAGGCTGGCTCAGGACTCTGCATGGCAGCTCTATGCAGGCCCCGGGGTCCCTCCACTCCTGCAACATTCCTGGTCCTTGTTCATGAGCCCCAAAGTCCCCAGGACCTTCCCTGAACTCTAACACGTGCATCTCTAGCCTTGGCCCAAAGCTCTGGGTCCCTCCAAAATATTCAGGTCTTCCCCCTCCCGAGTGCACCCTTATCGTCTCTTCCCCTTAAAAAGGGGGTAACTAGTGACCCCCAGAATTAAATCTGGTCCCACAGGAGCCTATAGGGAAAGACAGCACAGAGCACGTCTAGAATCCAGCATGACCCAGCAGACAGATAGTAGGTCGTGTCCAATCCTCTATCTCTTGATCAGAGGTGACCAGTGGAGGAATAATAGTGACCAGTGGAGGAAGTAGGACAGTAAGAAGAGGGATAGAAAGAACTCAGGGTCCCAAGGGCTAGGACCCTTGGTTGAAATTTGGCCACAGACTCAGACAAGACCCAGAAAAAGAGCAAAAATAGCAGAAAATTGCCCAAAATTCTGGGACAGCAGGGAAGGAGGGGGAAGGAGAGACTCACCTAGGACGGTCAGCTGGGTCCCGCCGCCGAACACCCAACACTGTGATACAGGCTCATACAAAAACCTGTCTCTGGGAGGCCCTGCCCCTCCCCTGAGCCCCCACCTGCAGCTGTGATGGGGGAAGCCTGGGCATGGCCTCTGGCTGTTTGAGGTCTGCAAGGGGCATGCTCACTGCTCACCCACCCCAGCAGATTACCAGGTAGAAGACACAGACTGTGATACAAGGCGTTTGCTGCCTGATGTGCTGTTTCTACTACTGTGTCCTGGGATTTGGGATGAGTTTGGAGGGCACTTGTGTCACTGCCACTGAGGTTCTGTGAAATGGAAGGCACACCTCTCTTATGTCCAAACAACCCTAACTCCTTGGTAAGACCAGGAGGGGAGGGCGGCATGCATTTCCCCCCCACTCCCCCCTTCCAGGGAGAGGCAGGTTTCCCGTGTATGGAGTCACTGTCAGCTTCCTGTTGGAAAGGATCCGGTCAGGGGCTCAGGCTTATCTTCCCCAGTGACTGCCTAGTTTGGGCCTGTACTGGCTGATTACAGGGTGGTCGTGTACGGATTGCCAACCAGACTTTCAGGTAACCATAAGAATACCCACTGCCATCCCACCCATGGGTAGAGTGGTCTTGGGGTGCTGTGTCACCAGGGAAGCATGACCTTGCTGGAACCCACAGGCCACACTCATCCTGCTCTGAGCTAGCCTGACCTGCCCTTACTTAACTCCACAATTCCAGTTGATATGCCCTCCCTGAGCCATCACTGGATGCCCATTCTGTGCCCAGAGGAGTGCTCTCTCTAATTCGTCAGGTCACTCCCCTGTCCTTCACACCCTGGGGCCTGACATCACCTGCTCAATCCATAAACCAACCATAAAATCTCTCACCCTTTCCAATTTCATGTGTTAAGACTCTTCACGATGAAAGCCCCAGGCCCCTGCTACTGTCACCTTGAGTCTGACCCTGACCCAGGGCTATCACAACATAAACAGAGCTTCTTTGTGGCTCAGCCTCACCCCATGTGGCTGGCACGATTAGCCATGTGATAAAGTGCTCCAGGCTCCCTGGGTTGCTCAGGGGCGTGAACATGACAGGGGATTGTTAGGCTATGTGATAATAAACATTTTCTCTGCTTAAAGACTTGTCAGGTTCTTCACTTAGCAAACATGCATTGTCAGAGTTTGAAAAATGTAGTATGGGATGCACTGTTAAGAACATTCTAGGTCTCTGAGGTGAGGGGCAACCACAAGACCCTCACCTGGTAATGGGGCCCCATTGGGTTCCTTGATGAAACAGGGAAGNAGACTTCAGGGTGGTCGTGTACGGATTGCCAACCAGACTTTCAGGTGACCATAAGAATACCCACTGCCATCCCACCCATGGGTAGAGTGGTCTTGGGGTGCTGTGTCACCAGGGAAGCATGACTTTGCTGTCACCGACAGGTCACACTCATCCTGCTCCGAGCTAGTCTGACCTGCCCTTACTTAACTCCAGAATTCCAGTTGATATGCGCTCCTTGAGATATCACTGGATGCCCATTCTGTGCCAAAAAAAGTGCCAGCTTTAATTCATCTGGTCACTCCCCTGTCCTTCACATCCTGGGGGCTGACATCACCTGCTCAATCCATAAACCAACCATAAAAATGTCTCATCCTTTCCAACTTCTGGTGTTAAGACATTTCATGATGAAAGCCCCAGGCCCCTGCTATTGTCACCTTGAGTCTGACCCTGACCCAGGGCTATCTGAACATAAACAGAGATTCTTTGTGCCTCAACCTCGGCCACGTACCCAGCAACCGTATCCATGTGATAAAGTGCTCCAGGCTCCCTAGGTAGCTCAAGGGTGTGACCGTTATAGGGGAATTGTTAGGCTATGTGATAACAGTTTTTCTGCTCTAGGACTGTCAGGTCCATTACTTAGCAAACATGCCTGTCAGAGTTTGACAAATGTACTTTGAAATGCATT